ACCTATCGATCGGAAGTCCAACGCTCTAAAGCTTGAGCCAAGGGCTCATTGTCTTGCCGGTTTCAATCGATAAGCGCTCATCCGTCAGTGTCAATATTCCAGGGGTTGGATATGACTTGTCGATAACCGTTAATAAGCCGGAAATGGCCACTGAGTCTCCCCTGCATTTGTCAGTAATGTCACTCTGCTTATAATACTAGTCGCCGTGCCGCTGCTGGCGGAGCTCGAGAGTGAGCCTCAAGGCAGAGCGGGACGAGTTAGTCTCGTAGCTGATCGATGAGCTTTCGTTTTCTAATGATGGTACTCCACAAAAGGCTTATTTAAGGTTCTCCACGACAGGCAACCATCTCTGAGACCCACCTGAAGCCTCTCAAACTGCACACGTTTCTTCTTCAGCTGCTGTGAGGCCAGAGCCTCGGGTCCACTGACCCCGGTTTCCAAGGCCGCGGACAAGTCTGACGAGAGCTGATGCAGTTCCCTGTCCAAGTCCTCTGCCAGCTGGCACCAGGACTGCCAACTGGAAAGGCGAGACGCGATAGCACTCTGTCTATCACTGAGCTGGCGTAGGGATGATTCGCAGAAGCTGGAGAGAGCAGAGACACGGCCAGTGAGCTCGGTCTGAGCATCTGGGCTCACCCATTGGCCGCAGTGTTTTGCTCCCACCTCCAGTTCTGTCAATCCGGGTGTATCCTGGAGGACTTTCAGATCATCGGATAGTTTCTAAAAGTGTTAAAGGGAATAAACCCTAGTAAGAAGATGCGGGGTGGGAAGTACAGAGGTCAAGGCGCGCTTTTGCGCTTCAGAAAGTCACTTAAAAAGAAAATCGCTCTTTATAATGTGTAGTTTTACCAGTGGCTATCATTTAGCGATCGGGAAACTGTAAATCTCGGGATCCAAATCTATTAACCTATTTGTCAAAGACCGTCACCAAGCGGCGAAATTCTAGCTAGGTTGCAATTTCGGCGTCATTTCTTAAACTACCATAGTTGCTTGCGCTCTTATATGGTAGCGCTTCCCATATGAATGAAATGGCGCTTGGGCCTTATGATCTCAGGTAGCCAACGACGGCCAGCAACAGAAAAATGCCAAACGCGCACGAAGGAGCTGTCGGTGAGACGAGGAATATTCCAGATGCTTCGAGCAGGTACCTCCCAGTCAGGCTTGAGAACCCAACGTTAATACATATTTATATGGTACCAAAATTATTGAAACACGCTAGTAAACATTTAGGTCTGAACCAGCATTACATTATACCTGTGAGCCTTTTAGGAACCGGATCAGGCAGCCAGTAAGTAGACCCGCCTTTCATATAATAGGCCTTGGCATCAAGAGCTGCACAACTACTGACTGTAGGGAACCTGACGAGCATGACAATATAGTCGAAAAGAGACAATCAGGTAATTTGGTTGAACATCAGGTCCTACAAGTGCCGTCTCAATCACCCAGAATATAGTGCTGACCACGACAGGATGGGTTAATTCTAAAATCCCATTGGATGATACTGTGCACCACCTCGTCTCCAAGATTTCGCCCTAATTATTTGAACGAGAAGCGGGCTAAACCAATAACCTCCGGAGTTCCTGTACATTTGCATAAATTTCAGCGGAATATTCCCCTGAAAGCGTGCCTTGGTGGTATATTCCATAAATATTCTGGTAGTTTTCCTTTGAATGTCCTATATTGACTTGTCTCATCTCCGGGATATCCGAAATGTGTTAGCTAATTAATGCGTTGAGGCGAAAGCTCAGTTCTGGTTGACGTCCGAGTGCTCATATTCAGGCTACTTAACACATTTCAGTAATGCGTTTATGTATTCACAATTTTGCCACGTAACGCATACTTTGACACGGACTAGTAGTTAATAGACAGCTACCTGCAATTCTATGGCCAATCTACTTTTTGACGTTCTTTTCATATGTGTTTTTCTTTTGCGGCGTTATCGTAACCAAAAAGGAGTTCAAATGTGTCCGCCTACCCTTCTCTTTATATGAGTGAATCCAAAACTGAACCGAAGTGAAAGAAACTTGAAACTCACTGCCATATCGTGCCAACTACAGTAGCCGCCGAAGACCATGCAACGCTAATTATGAAATTTGGCTAGACCTTATAGGATATATTTGAAAACACTATTGTGGTTCATTCAGTTTATTGAATTC